GCATGTGATCTACAGGTGTAGATGAAATAGCCTGAAATCTGGTAGTAAAGCCATAAATTGCTAGAAATGTGACGCAGTTGACGATTTTTTGCTCGGCATCACCTGTGACGCGAAGCACTTTTTGAGATCGTAGTGTGAATCGCTTGCCAGATGTGAGCAAATGCGATTTTGTTACAAAGAATGGTCTAAGCTGAGATGGAAAGGAAGCAGGCTCAGACTACAAGCAGGAAAAAATTTTGGTGTTGTCAAAAAAAGCAAAGAAGACTAAGAGCATATCAAAGGGCGTCAACAAATCAAAAGATACTGTAACATACAGTGAGTAAAACAACTTGCACACTTCAAGGCTTCTTAGTGCAAGATGCTTTAGTGTGCAAGCTGCTTCATGGAATGAAAAATCTAATAAGTAAGAATGGATAGTGATCAATGGACTTACTCGATTTCTAAGCTCACGCTCGGATTCAAGGTCTTCTTGGAGAAGCCTGATCTTGTCCTGAAAACATATAAAGATTGGCACACGAACAAGCATCACTTTTGAACTGACTAATTCTGAAGCTCTAGATCAAAAGTCTAGACAGTTTCTGTTGAAAAGAGTAAGGAAAATTTGCAAATAATTTGCGAAATAGGAACGATCGAAATGTGCTTGATTTGTAGAAATGCGTAAAAATCTGTATATGGAATTATGAAAATTATGCACACCTCAAGACGAGTAAGGGAGCCAAGATCGGCGACAGACATGCTGCCAAAAGGTGCGCCAAAGGCGCTCATCGATGGTGACTTGTAAACAGCGGCCTGCGATGGCGATCTGTACAGATTGGCTGACATGATCGGTTGTAGTTGAGTACAAGTAAGTCAGATATGGAGTAAATCCAACGGGATTCAAGGTAGTTGAATTGGGCTAGCACGCGCTCTATACACCCGACACGTCCGACGACTGCGCTCGTTGGCTGACAGGCAGGCTGGCTGTGGCTGTGGCTGGCCGGGGCTACTGAGGCACAAGATTCACGG